TATTTCAAATGCATGATATCACGTTCTGCTAACTGATGTAAAAGCTAAATGTTCAACCGAGATTGTCGATCAAGTGATTGTGACGTTGAACAGCACGGTAATAAGTTGTGTGATCAACAGCTTGGATCTAGATTACATCGTAACGGTACATGACAGCCGCTAGATATAAATTTTCACGCGATCCCATGTCTGCACTACGAAGACTAAACTATTTATTATTTTGTTGTGGTAATCCACTATACTACTTGGGCCCTTCGTGAGCTTTATGAAGATTTCACGACCGAAATGTCTTCATTCTACAACAATATCACCATTGACCTAAGAAGAGGGGTTCGACAAGGCGATACAATTTCGCCAGAAACTATTCACTGCCACCCTACAAAACGTCATGCGAACATTAGAATGGAACGAAATGGGAGTGAAAATTGACGGTCGACAATTGAACCATCTTCGCTTTGCTGACGATATCGTTCTCATAACACCAAACATCAGCCAAGCGGAACGAGTGCTGACTGATTTCAATAACGCCTGTGGACAGATTGGTCTTCAACTGAATCTAACGAAAACAATGTTCATGAGGAGCGGATGGGTTTTCTAATGCGCCCATTCACGCTCAAGGGAACGACAATTTCCGAATGCTCCAGTTACGTCTATCTAGGTCGTGAAATCAACATTATGAACGACCTAGCTCCAGAGTTGAGCAGGAGGAAACGAGCGGCTTGGGGAACGTTTAAAAGCATCGAAGATATAGTGAAGAGGATTAAGAACATCCGACTCCGTGCCCACCTTTTCGACTTGACTTATCCCTGCTCTAACGTATGCAACAGAAACCTGGTCTCTACGTAAGCAGGATGAAAGATCACTTGGCGTTATCGAACGCGCAGTCGAAAGGTCGATGCTAGGAGAGTACCTCGTATTATGCAAATGAGAGAAATACACAATGTTGCCAGACCATAGAGCAAGCGAAACCGCTCGAGCTGTTCTACGACTACAAGTAAGACTGCTGCTAGAAGTGATACCAAAATATCTGGTAACATGCTGTGGATCATCTTTGAAAATCTTTATGCGAATGTTCATCATTTGGCATTGTATGTCATTTATCAGCATTTCAACATGCACCATTTGTGTGTTGATTCAAGTTCTAAAACTCCCACATTCACTGTTTTGCGAGGAGTCGCTCCATCAGTGATATCAGCTCTCGGTAGATGTGAATCTCACTTCGCTCTTCTGCTGCTTGGATAAGATCATAATTGCAGATTGGCAATCTAGCGATCGCTCACGTTGTCATGGTTTTATTCTCACAGTAATGATAAATACTCAGAATAGGGTCAATCTTTGTGAATTAATCTGTACTTCCAGCAAGTAGAAACCCCGTTCTAATTATAGTGGCCATGGGCAAGCTTGTCATCCTCATCAAAAAACCATCCCAAAACAATACGATTGTTAAGTGAGAACACTAGAATAGAGCTCATTACCAGAATTTGTAATTATTTTTGCCTAGTATAGCTCAATGTAATAAGGATTACAGCCGCAGAGTACCATTGGTTTTGCAGAAGAAGTGAGCACGCATACTTCTTTGGTGATTTTGTTGGTTTCGGTGGTACATATTGAAATAGGGGCCTAGAAGCGTGCTTTCTTGAAAATGCATTTTCAGATGCTCTTAGGTATTAATAATCAATTGAAATTCATTTATTTGATCCCCTCTTACGGTGTTATGATCCTATAATATACCCAATAATGTGGAGTGCGTGCAAGAACATTTGCGTCAGCCGGATTTTAACCCAGATCTCACTCTTTCCGGGAGCTTGTGCTAAACCGGAAACAGTGAGATCCAGGTCCGAATCCCAGCTAACGAAAATGTTCTTATACAGCTCTTTGGTCTTTTGAGAAGAATTAATCCAAAACATAGCACAGCTTTCACGCGGATGCTTAGAGGATGCAGTAATTTCGGGTTTTCCTTTGATTTGAATGGCTTAGATGTATTATTTGGAGTGGATGGCGCAGTAGTTAGTACTAGTAACACCATACGAAGAACATCGGAACGATATCTGGTTGTGATACCTGCCCGCCATCGATTGTGCATTCCACCTCGCACACAGGCAAATACGACCACTAGAACTGGATAGCAAGGCCCTTTGATGAAGTGGTGGATAGTATGTGGGTATGAGGCTTGAGACACTAGCATCAACTTCATACCGTGAACTCCATAATTATTTTGTGGGCTAAATACGATCAATCATTTCTAAGATGCATCATGGATAGGAATGCATAATGAACTCATCGGAGTTTTGACCAACCCCAAAAGCTTTATTTTTCGGTCCTTATCTTTAGGCATAATAAATTCACATTTCAAAAATAGTCTCACAAGACTCTTTTTATATTGTCGTTTTAAAGTAGAATCAGGCTCTTATCAGGTGGATTCCATTTATCGGCGAATAACCCAGCGGTCACCAGTGAAACTTCTAATTTTTCCTATCGGTGCAGGAGTAGCCCAGTGGATCCATCTTTCTCTAGGAATGATGAGCTCCCAATCTTTCCCTTAGGGATTTCGTGAAGAAATAAGGAGTTTGGTCAATGGTCTTCCTGAACTCTTGCTTTTCGATCGCTGACTTAAACCCGGATTGTGCGTCCTTTCGCTTAGCGATGCGAATACTCTCATCATCGACCTTTCGACTGCTTGTTCAGTGACGGCAAATGATATTTCGTCTTGCATCCATAGCGAGCGCTTTCTGAAGCAATTTTCAAAGAAGGGATAACCATTCGGTCGAAAAGGTGGGCACTATGCCACATCTGCTTTGTTCTCTTCACTACAGCCTCTACGCATTTAAACGTTCTTCTAACAGCTTGCTTCTTTCTGCTTAACGGACGAGCTAGGTTGTTGGTCATGTTGACTTTCCAGCTTAAATAAGCGTAGCCAAAAAACTTTGCGCTATTCATTTTCTTGATTTAAATGGAGCATTAGAATTTAGTCGTTTTCGTTGGATTTAATCAACACCCATCTCTCTTCAAGTGCGGAATTGACAGACGCAAACCTCATCATCACTACATGCCATTCGGCTGGTCGTCCCTACCATTGATAGGAATCGTCGCCGAAGAATTTTCACTCCATGCCAAGTGGAATCCGAATGACTTAAACTAAAGCACTAACTTGATGGTGTTTCTACCAGAGTGATTAACTGACGATTGCATGGCTTACGGCTGTTACGCCAGTATATATATTTTGATATCTTGCGATTGTTTATTTGAGACGTCGCTGAAAAGACTCAATATGTCTGTTAGCATCCAAGTTATGTTTTAAATATTTCAAAAAACAGCTTTTATCTTTTATGTCTACGTATAAGAAAAATTAATTCTTCAAATCAGTGACGACATGATTCATCGAATAAGCAATTGATTGGCAAGCATCCTGTGCACAATCTCGTTGTCGTATGATGCTCGTCATTTCAGCATTTTACGAGACTTTGAATATATGCAGCATTGATGATTATTATATCTCAAAAATCAAAATCGTGTAGGACTTTCATGTTGAAATACTTTTGCCATGGTGGCGAAATTGACGAAGCGCCAGTACAGCAAAATGTTCTCAGTATTCTCAGTCAGAGAGGCAGAAAATCATGAGATCCAGAATTAGATAGACTGGCGATTTGCCGCTTATTAAACAGGGCCCGCTTTATATAAAATTATCATCGACTGCGCTATTAGTGTGCTGCGCACGGATCAGCGATACCAGTAAGTCGTCATGGTATGAAGCCAGAGACGCTAACTTGAAGTTCGCAATAGTTGGTGTCAGTAGTTATCTGTCGGCAATAACGAGCTGTATTAGCACATCATCAAGAATACTTGCTTGCTCCATACTATCGTTTGCTTACTTGGATGCTGATTATATGTGGAGAATTCGAAATGAACATGCTTGTGGTGGCATTTATACTCGAAAGGCGCTGTACTGAGAGGCCACAGCTCACTCGTTGGATAAACTGCACTTTGTGCTTTGTAAAGTTTCTTTCTTCTGAGCTCTGAATAAATTTTGTTCAAATGTTTTGCGAAGAACAGCTGAGTCCTTGGTCTAATGTTTATCGAGTCACAGCATATTTGCTACAAAACATCTGACTGGTATTTGGTTAAGTGTCAGCCCCGTGACGCAAAAGATGGAGCAAAATTTAAATGTGAAAAGAAGTGAACTTGTTGCCGCGACTATTCACGAACATGGCAAATGACAATGAATTGGTGGACAAGAACTGAGAAACACCACTTACCGCCGAGTCTTCCTCAGCATCCCTTCTCGGTTCCGCCGATCCCTTGAGGCTGATCAATCTTCAAAAGAAATCTACGCCGAGTAAAAAAAAAAATCACTTCAAGTCGGATGACGGGTGTTACCTGACACTGTGGTGACTGGCAGTCAAGCTTGCGGCTTTCATAATGAATCATGATCATACCTCTGCTATCGGCCGCTCTTCTACTTTTATGCTGAATCGTACCTCTGCTGTCACCGTCGATTCCTTCGGAGGATTAGTTAGCTTCAAGGGACCGGCGAAACCAAGGGAGTGTGATAATGATGAGTCCCAATAGGACGAAATGGCCGCCTATATAGCTCTAAACTTATCGGCTCAAAACAAGTCATATCCTTGTCAGATTATTTCGTTTTGAGCGGGATTGTGAAAAAGTGGTCGATAGCAAAAGAATACCTTCTAGTCATCAGATCAAAACCTTTAAAGACCTTTCTTGGCAGCATTATAATTGTTAGGGTTGATTTTCTCAGTATGTGTTGTGTGAGATGGCTACATAGGTCGCAACGTATAGTTTGATGATCAATCAGAATTCTTTTTACTTGACCGCCATTTGAGGTGGTATGATGTTACAATATACCTAATAATGTGGAGTGCTGTGCGAAAAAACATTTGCGTCAGTCGGGATTCGAACCCAGATCTCACTCTTTCCGGGAGCGTATGCTACCGTTGCACAGATAACGCCATGTACCGTAAAAAGAGTGCTGTCCGAAATGAGCGTCCGGTGGTGCAACGGTTAGCATACGCTCCCGGAAAGAATGAGGTGTGAGTTCGAATCCCGGCTGGTGCAAATGTCGCAAATGTTTTTGCACAGCACTCCACATTATTGGGTATATAGTTTGATAGTCTACGAATACGCTGAGTAGATCAAGACTTCGCCTTCGAATAATTTGACTTCTATAGCGTTTTGTGTGCGAGTAGTCGGGTGTTGTTGTGCACTGGAATAGTAGATTTCCTGGTGTATTACCGTTTTTTGACGCCTACTTGACAGTTTAGCTCCTCAACGGTTTTGTCATGTATTCATGTGAAGTTTTCATGCTCAAATTCGTTAATCTATCACAGAGGTATTCATTGTATCTACGCATAGAAAATTATCGCTTCAGAAAGTATTTCGTTACCACACAATTTCCAATCTTATGACCCTTTAAGGTAGAAAGAACTTTATTCCAATAAATCAATCAATACCACTGAGACCTACAAGTTTTTGTCATCGAGAAATGTATTCGCTCACCAGTTGTTCAGAATTTCAAGTTTTCTGGGAAAACAGCGTTGATGAAAGCGGTCTTCGCCTAAAACGTTTCAAGTAACACTGGCCGTTAAATGAGAGGAGTGGTGGCATGGTATAGGAGACAGGGTTTTTCAGCTCAGCTCGTTTAAACTCTGTAACGCAGGTTTTGTGACGCGATGCGTCGTTGTCCGTTATGGTAGGGACGGATTGGTGCCTCTTTCCTGACCGCTATGTAATAAATTTGATAATGTTTCGGTTGGTTTAGTTGGAGCGCGGCTTTGCCGTATCGTTTTGAATCAGATTTGAAAAGCCCTAATCGATTATGCCAACTGCTAATTAATGAGCCTTCAGAAAGATTTTTTTGAGATTCCAACGGTCCAACCTCTAAATCAATCAGCGGTGATTACCTCAAATAAGCTCTTTCCCGAAACCCGCAGCGATGCGGGCAAGGAACGTATGCTAGCAGATGAGCAGTGTAAGAAGCTCCTACAAATTTCAAAGCACCAGATTTTTTAATTGCTACTTGAACCGCCTACATCAATTTGCTAATTTTTTCCGTCATGATCATTCTACGTTTTGAAACTTTTCGAAGATTTGTGCGCGTTGTATCCATCAGAATTCGTCGTAGTTTATCGCAGAAACACATTCTCGGCGTTTCCATCTCCGCGTTGAACTTGCAGTGACGTTATTTTTTAGAAGCAACTGGCATTGTGTTTTCGTTAACACTGCATCGGGCACATATCTCGTTGATGTTGCAGATCGTAAGTGCAGCACTACGTTCGATGATGGGTTCAGTAAGTAATCACGTCAAGTACGTAATATATGTTAAAATATTCTAATCCTTTCGAAATAAACGAAATAAGCTTTGACTTCCACGCAATAATTCACTGGAAAAAACTATTGAAGAGTGTACAAGGTGGAACCTTAGACGGACCTCAACCCCCTCCTATCCTGACTGAGGTTCATGCGTTATTCGCTATAATTCCAAACTTTTTGTTTTGCTATTTCCTCAGCCATGGCTATATCTTATCGGCACTATTAGCAATCACCTGTAAATGGAATTTGCCTGGGTAACACAAATCGACATTGAAGTTGAACAACCCAGTCGACAATGCTTTACTACTCTAGTTCACACAGTGTCCTGCCTGAAATAAACGTCAGGTATAAAAGCTAAGAGATCTTACGTAATGTTTTAGAGCCACAAGGATGCTGAGGTGCCGGAGAAACTAACAACCTAAGATAGGCAGCTAATTCATGAGTAGTCTTTCCGACGGCCCAAGTGCTAGTGCTATTCGCTATACCAACCGAGACTCTTGTCTTACTTCTCCCTTGATGGGCCTAGGGAAGGGAGTGAACACAAGTTAAAACTATGCTTTAGCGCTTCCGATGGCTGACGGCAATCACCCGACAGCAGGATTCAAAGTGCACAAATCCACAAAGCTCTACTCGACTTGAAGCCGCTGTCGAAATCGCAACTTTGATCTTATTTCCTCAAATATTGTGACAACAATAAGTAATTAATAAGAACAAAAGTTTCATTAAGACCACGCTTAAATTTCGATATATCTCATAGTCATTATTTGAGCCAACATGTCATGTTGTCTGTTAATGGGCTTTTTGTACAGCACGATACACGTGTATCGGCCATGCAGCTTCGTCAGTCGGGAAAAGCCCTTCGTCTTTGGCCAATCATTCTCGGGGTTCCTACTCCCTTTATAAAGAGGAAGGAGACGACGAGCGATTTGCACTTTTTGTCAAGTGAAAAATCACAATATCAGTTAAGAGCAATCGAGTGTGGAAAATTGTCGATCTTGTGATTATTTCACTTAACGGCGATTGTGTAAATCGTTCGTCCTCGCCCACTTTTTCACAAGAGAAGGTAATACCCCGAGAGGATTGGCTAAAGACGAACGGCCTGTTCAATTGACGAGGCTCTAAGGCCGAAACACGTGTTTTCGGGCTGCACAAGAGCCCATTAACAGGCCACATGACATGCTGGCTCGAACAATAATCATGAGAAGAATAAAAATGTTCATAATTGTTCTGTAAACGCAGTTGTCATAAAATGCCTCATTCAAACCTCTACTGCTGCCACGTCGTCGCATTGATGATGAATCATAAGAAGTTGATCAAACATAGATGTTTCAGTTGTCTTCACAAATAGAGGATGTTCTCCAATGGCAGAATTATAGTCTTTGCTGAAAACCTCATCGAGGTCAAGACATCAAAAGAGTTTTTTGATTTTTTTTTATTAGCAATTAAGCAGCAGATATTACTACGGTGTTTCTCTTATCTGGGAATAAATTGTCATGTATCTCCATAATTCCGCTAATATCTCTGTTATAGTTAGTATAAGCAGCAGAAATCGATGAACGTTTGTTCGTAATGTTCAGGCTTGTCTATTTCCACTGGTCAGTGATCTGAATAAGGAAAGTTAAATGCTTCTTACAACCATTAGATAATTATAGGGTATTTCATTTCTAAAGCATTGTAGTATTTGAGTTTTCTCACTCATAGCGTGTAAGTACAACGTATTAGCGACACTTTTGTTTGGAGCAGTGCTAGATAGTTTAGATGCTAGTTAAGGAGATGAAAACGCAGAACAAAAGAGAGTGACTTTTTAATGTCTTTTCAAAAGTTAACGCGTTATTGGTTTAACGGATGTAAGAAATCACGCCTCTGATATCCTTTCTCGGTCGCTGATGATTCTATTCGAGCATGCTTGAAGTGATAAAAAATTCTTTATTGCATTCATGTCAGTGGCGCTATCCGTGTCGTATGGCACAACTTCACTTTGATGTTGGCGGCTGGTGTAGCAACGCAAGTGAATTTGCACCGCATTTTGGCGGCGTACGATTGCTCACACAGTGTCATACATATAGACGGCAAAGTGACAACAGACACAAGATACACACTAAAATTTCGATCGACGGAAAGTTTATAAACATTGGGAGGTTCTATATTCGAACATATTAGCTAGCGTTATTCTGACGAGGGTAACGCTATTCAGCAGATTGGAAAGTGCTGGTTGTGATTCTGTACCTTACAGCTAGTTTAGCACTCGTTAACTCAGAGTACTCGTTACTTTGAAGAACCAGTTTGGTTCTTTGTGATTATAAGGGAGGAAATAAAAAACCGATCCCATCTGCTGAAGAAGAACTTTTCACGGGAGGTTAGTAACCATTCGAAAGCTGAGACTTGTGGCTACAGCCCCACGTCACCGGTTTTTTCGAAACACCCCTCTATAGAATTGTAACATTCAAAGTAAGATCATGTTTTATCTAGCCACCTAGTAGTTTTTCTTATCTCTAACTTCGATGGACAAAACGCTTTCCTCAGAGTGCTCATACTCAAAAGATAGCATAAGCTCTGAAGAACTCAAAAATGTGTTTGCTTTTTGAAAAGCTGCTCTGATCTTTTGATCTTCCTCCTGTCTTTGATTTGTTCATCAAATCACACCAGATAGAGCTGTGTCTGTAGAGTACTAGTAATCATCTAATAGATTAATGTTTTCTGATTCCATCGATGTGTTTGTTTTCTGGAAATACCGTTTAGCAGGGAAAATATGATGGAGCTTTACATTAATGGCAACATTGTTTACAGGCTATTCGTTCAGGCGAAGGCGGTGGCAAGGGACGTGGCTGGGGCGAGGCAAAGCGGGACTATTGATGTTTTGTTGTTCATTGAAATTTATCCTCCGGTTAGAAAGAAGTTCTAGACAAAACGATTAACTATGCCAATAGGGAAGTCTCTTTACACATTGAGATGCTTTTCGACTTACATAAGCGTGATAAAAATGAAAGGAAAGGGTGAATGTGAAACATAGTTTTTGATCTTTAAAACGCTATTAATGGATGTTTTGAAAAATGGCGGAGTGAGGCGGTGGCCTCAAGTCTCAGCTTTCGAATGATTACTAGCACTCTCATGAAAAGCTTCTCTTCAACAAATAAGATCGGCTTTTCATTCCTTCCCTTCAATTAGAAAGAACCAGTTTTTCAACTTATTTTCAACTTAAATCGACTTAACCAAATCTAGTGATTCAAAAATCCTCAAGTACTTTATATGGTATACGGTCGTTCTAGAATTGATATGATTTCAATGTTGATATCATTATTACTATACTAATCAAAAAAGCGGTATCAAATTTTGATAGAATCTTTAAGTTCAGCTTGATTTATACCGGCTATAAATGGAGAGATTTGTAAAGTGCTAGCTGTTGAAATAGATTGTATAGTAAAGCATCGCTTCAAACGAGGCCCACCAAGATTACTACATGTTGTCTTTCTTTTCTTCAAAGGTAATCATTCGCATCGATTATCCACAACCGCTCGTCCTCTGTAAATTCTCGCTTTTGTTTCGTCTGATCAAACCTGCCTTCTTGGAGCACGGCTTGAATGATGCACTTTACTTGGCAATGTTTTTTATTGTGCAGAATGAAGCTGGCGAATTATCTGATTGCCCGTTGTCAGTGATTGTCATTTATGAGCATCTGATCTGATCCTGCAGAAGTTGGCATTTTTTCAGTTAACAGAATTCTAACAAGTTCCGCACGATGGATCTGA